CGAGCGTTTGAACCAATCAGCGTGCTTCATCGATGCATGAAGTGGCAAGTTGACACGCATTCTACTCAAGCTGAACCGTGAAGCATGTGGGATCGCCTGACTCGATGTACTTTCCCTGTGCCGACACCTCACCACCGCTGCTGTATTGCTGACCGCACTTATTCTAGATCTGTAGAGATACATTTGAGCATATTAGTCCTATCTCAAAGACACATTTTGTTAAATTAAATTAACCCACTCTATTCCTGTCTGACCAATGTTAGGCCAAAGCTACATCTGCCCTTTGTCAAAAGTTGCGTGTACTCGAACTCTGTTAAACTACTTAGTGTCGAATTGATGCATCCATTTACACACCCAAGTGTTAAAATATCACCTGATCATGCTTTATCTAGCCATACCACCTCGTTATATTGTCTAGCCAATTGAAGCGATATTTGTCATGTGCAATGCTCGAGAATTCGTCAATTCTTCACTGCATCCTTTATCAGCTAATAAAGTAAACGATCTGAATTACCTTGACCCTGAGATCTAGTCTTGGTGATTGGCAATCAATTGGTCAAGGAAATTGGCAACATATCCACGGAAGAATAAGCAGCACCGGATTGCATTTGTTCACTTATGAGCAAAATACAGTAGCGGAGATCGAGTCAGTTCAAGATTCATAGACAAAGTCTGTGATTAGTAATTTTCGTTTGCAGACCCATGTCCGAATAATCCAATAATGATAACTTTGAAGAAGAATAAGTAATGTATTAGAATCGTGATGAAATATATATGGATGAAAGGAAGGTGTTCGCTTTGCTACCTCTAGCACCGTCTATCATCTGGTGTATTCTCGTTTGCTGACGAGGTCGTCAACAATTGCGGTCAACAATGGATCAACGTGGTTGCACGTGTGGTCATCGTGGTGGTCGAGCGATCACAACTCACTCTCAGTATCTTGTCACCCTCGGTGATCCGTTCGATGTGAGTGGTCTTTTCTTCAACCCGCACATGCTTCATGTTGCTGGCGTCCATCGTGATGGTGGACTTCACCTTGCGACAGCCTGAAATCACCCCGTCACACTCCTCGTCCAATTGTAACTCAGAAAACTCGGTGTTCCTAAATTCGCTCCCGAGCTTCATGCGGTGGTGTCCGTCTTACACTCTGGTGATGTTGACGGTGGATTTCGGCGTGCTACCCCCTCCGGAATCACACATTCGACATTGATACTACACAAAGTCGAATTTCCAGCTTCAACCGGTGTCCATTTACTGCATTGTGGTTAGCTGATTGCCATGACAACGTTCCTTGTGGCACATCGGGAGGCAACTTGAGTGCGGACTCAAGGTGAACGTGTCACGCTACGCACGCGATTGTGACACCATAGATGGCCACATGTGAAGATACACCAAAGTGATTTTCCTTATCTTCGATTACCCTAATTGAGGTTGATTTATTTACAGACGTGTGCGGCATCAACACTCTGCTGAAGTCACTGCCACCTTGTTTGACCCTTTAATAACTGCGTCTTTGGTCGCGGCTTGCCTGTGGAATGATTTCTAATGGTTGCATTTTATTGCAAATTGCAGGTGCTTCTGAAGCGTTTTCTTGATCACCCACACAATCGTTAATGACTGAGTAAATATATGAGTGTGCTGTCATTGGCCGTGATTTTGCAATGGTTGCGCGATTCCTTGATTTCCATTTGACCAGGTGCGACGCCATCGACAGTGATCGGAAACTATGGTGGAAAAGCTTGCTCCGCAACATATCGAAATAATCATTTTGCCAATTTCGTGATGGTGCATGTTGATACCCAAAGCTAATAATCTTGCCCTTCCAGGACAAGTCGATCTGGATTTAACGGAAATTTCATATTTTAGAAGATATCCTCGTGTCGTTTGTTTCCACTTTTGAATGCAATATGCAATCAATGTCTTCTCGGCTCGTTTACTGGATTTTTCAAAACAATTACCACTTAAGGCTAGCCTGCGTTGTTCGCGCGATTGTGCCGAAACGTGAATGCGTGTTTGGCAAAATTAAATATTATTTCCATCCACACCTCATTTCATGGCAACCTAACCACGCGCCCAGTCCTGAGGTTGAATCAATGGTTGTGATGGATGTGTGTGTGTGTCTGCGATATTTGCATTTTAACGGTTTCGTAAATGTGACCTGCTCATGCTTTCGATGTACTGGTTTCTCGAACTCAAAAATACTGGATTCTAATTTTTCTTACAGAGGGTTTGATGAAACCAGGAAATTTCATCATCAAAAAGTTACTCAGCCACTCGACAACGTGCATTCACACTCACATATGGTGCCATCACTTCCACGTGTACTCACATTGTGCGTACTGGCGATCAATTAATCACATGAAGAGCATTCCTCTTGACCTCAATTCGCGATTTCCTACTATGCGACATATGCTATTCAAGCAAGATGTTGGCGTCTCTTCTTGCATATTGCCTTGCAATTACACATTTATTCGCCTTTTCACGCTGACTGCATCCCTACGCCCTTTCATCTTCCACTCTATACCGTAGTCGGTAATATACTAGTTTCTCGAAATGAGCCCTAATGTTTCGGCTGATCACGAGTCGACCACGAAAGTATGAGGCTGTCCATGAAGGACAGCCACGATCAGGCCTCGGCAGACACACCACCACCAGCGAATGCCATCAGCTCTTGCAGTCTGCAGCTGGTCTCCGCGGAAGTCATTTGCTTGAAATTGCCCTTGAGTCTGCAGCAAGATCTGTACATCTGCAAATAGATTGAAGGCATCCTATCAAATTCATCTGGTGTCATGCAGTGTGTAGTCGGTGTCTTCGTCTTCATTCCGACGATTTCAATTTCTTTTATGCATTTGTCTTTTGTCTAATACCTTGTCTATATGTATGGATGCATTTAGAGGAATTTGGCAAAGTAGCAGATTCGTCTGTTGTAAAATGGCACCATATTTGCACGATAGATTCGGCGGTAAATTTAAGTAAACACACGTGTTAATTTGCATTCAGCAGCCTAATGTATCAGTACATTCTTGAAGGCAAGGTTTTCAAGCATATTCTTTCATAAACTCGTAAGATGCACGAAAAACAGCATGACGAGCTGCTTTAGTTAGCTGAGCAGCAAATCGATTTGCTTCTAGGCCATTAGCACAGATCGCGCCGGAGCGAAACCTTATTACTGAACTCAAGAAGATAATGTTTCATCGCCTTCTCATTGATTTTCGAGAGCACCTTCAAGAACACCAAATTCACCGAGTTCGACTTGTCCAAGGTGCGTGACGAGGTGACCTCAGATCGTCGCAAGTTGAAGTCCACCATGACGATGGACATCAGCAACATGAAGCATGTGCAGGTTGGAGCAAAGACCACTCACTTCGAAAAAGTCATCGAGGGTGACAATATGTTGACAGTGAGTTGTGATTGCTCGACCATCACCACGATCCCACGTAGTACCACCTTGTTTGTACTCATGTTTAGCCTATTTGTTATTCATTTTAGACCGCAAATGTTGATGAGCTTGTCAGCAGACAAGAATGCGCCAGATGTTAGACGGTGCATGAAGATGCAACGCGAACATCTTCCTTTTATCTTTGTGTATTTCACTGCATTCCTTATGCACAATTTGACATTCTTCTGAGATGTCATTTACGGATTGGTGGAATGTAGGTCATTAAACGAAAATTACCCATCATAGACCCTGTCTAGCATTCTGGTTCCGACTCGATGTGAGCATTCATGATCCGCACAAAATGCATCAGCAGCAATCCAGTACTGCGGTTTCTTTAGTGGATATGTTGCCCATTTGCTGGACCAATGTAGAGTCAAAAACAAAGGATAAAATTCAGCGTCAAGGTAATTCAGACCGTTTTCTTTATCAGCTGAGTCATTCTCAATTTGTAAACGAGGCAAAACACTGAACTCTCGAACCCCACATGACAAATATCGCCTTAATTGGCTGGTATGGCCAGAATCAGTATGATCAGGTGATATTTTAACAGTGTGGAGCGAAAACTGGATGCATCATTTTGACAAAGAGAGCGTGACCAGAGTTTGAATACCCGCAAATTTGGACAACGACCCGATGTAGTTTAAACTAACTTTGGTCTGACTGTGAAACAGTGAGTTAATTTCATTTAACGAAATGTGTTCCATGAGACAGGACTAATCTGCACAAATGCATCTCAACAGAACTTGACCAAGTGCGGTCAGCAATACAGCAGCGGTGGTGAGGTGTCGGCACAGGGAAAGTTCATCGAGTCAGGCGATCCCACATGCTTCACGGTTCAGCTTGAGTAGAATGCGTGTTAACTTGCCACTTCATCCTTCGATGAAGCACGCTGATTGGTTCAAACGCTCGGTGCACAATGCTCTCGAGACAAGAGGGCCTCGTTCAAACGTAGCCTCTGCACACACACACACAGAGTGACACACACACACACACACCCATATATATAGGCAACGGGAGTTGGTGTTCGCACCAGCCTGTGAAGTCGTTGAAGCAAGCACATCATGGAGCAGTTCGTGGGAAGGTGGGA